TAGTAATTTCTATTTGCTGGGGGGGTGGGAACACGATATAGGGCAAGATTGTTACTGTGCGTAACTGTGGCTGTTTATTGTGTCCATGACATTTTCTTGAATCTCTTGAAAGAGCTCTATACTGGGAGATATTCTATGTTGCAGTGACATCCCTACAAAGGACACACACACACACACACACACTTCTACAGTTAATAAAAACAGACGCATAAATACAGAGCAATGCACACGGTACATCCATCCCAAAATGCAAGCGGTGCAATGGACCACAGAAGGGCCTTCACTCCCCTACCAAGGCCTGGCCAGGGGTAGGACACCCACAATATGACCACGACGGACTAGGGGAGGGGCCTCTGGCCTTCTCTTTTCTTCACCAAACAATCAGAGCGAGGTCACATTTCTTTAGGGAGGCACGGGAGGGGGGGGGGGTGTTCAAGCAGTCGGCGTCGACCGTTTATTCAAGCCGACTACATCATGAGCTGTAACTTTGCATATTCCAATTTCCAATTTCCAAACCATTCTAAGCCCCCCCCCCCCCAAAAAAAAAAAATACTGTTCAAAGTATCACGATGGATACTGTGTGTGTATGTACTACACTGATGGTCTAGGCATACTGACTACCTGAGGAGAAGTTTAGAAATTGTTAACAGCCCACGATCGTTGCTGCAACTCTCTGGCATCAGCAACAGCCGTGTCGAAATGCGGGAGTAATCGTGAGCCAGGATTTTTTTTTTGGTGTCATCGCTGGTAGTGGGCTGGAACTCATTGAGAAAAGAGGCAGCGAAACAAAAGACTTTTGTGGCGGATGAGTCAGTGAGGGCCCTGCGCTGTGCCTGCCAGCCGCTCCCCGCCGCAGTGCGGCCGTCTCCGTGGACGCACGCCAAGCCGCCGGGCCGCTGGACACCGGCCGTGTCGGCGGAAAACTCAGGACACCATTGGGCTGCACTCGCATTCCTTCAGTGGAAGCGCCCAGCTGGATCGGCGGCAGAAAAAAAAAAACGATTAAAAAAAAAAACACGATACAGCCAACAGAAACCCCCCAGCCCGCACCATCACCTCCATGCTCTGTACCTCGCTGTGGCGGGGGGGGCATTTCATTTAAACGTGGCCCCCGTGCCAATCTGCCCACCCTTGAGGGGGAGAGTCCTGCAGCAAGACCCCCGGGGCAGGAAGTGGAGGCAGGTGCCGACGTGCTGGAGATGCACAATCGTGCCGGGGGGGGCTCCCAGACAAGCGGCCTCTGTCACTGGGGGACCCGACAGCAAAACGTGGGGGGGAGGGGGGAGCCGGCAGTCCACGGTGGCCTAGACCAGGCCTGGCACTGCGGACCTCCTGGAGCCCCTCCAACAGTCGCAAGCTGGAGGTAGGCAGGTGGGGGCAGTCATCAGGGCAGGTAGACAGTGAGCCAGCACCCCCCTCCCCCCTCCCGCACGCTGCAGTCTGCTCCATTAAATAAGCTATTGGAAGGTTCCAAGAAACCTGCGGCGAGGAGCGCCACGGCAACACGGGAAGTGGGAGAGCCGTCCAATGAAACGCTCTCAGGGTCCCAGTGATTTTTTTTACCGTATCCAGGCAGACGAGGCGTAGAGACCCACACATATATTCTGGCGACTGTGTGCTAAGGGCCAGAAATAACAGAAATGACCCAATGTCTATACAATGTGTGTGAGAAAGTTACTCTGTGTTTCTGGATAGACTGCGTTGTACATGGGACTCTGCAGCAGTGAATGCATGCATGCATGCACGTGTGTGTGTGTGTGTGTTTGTTTTGAAGGCTTCTACTTAAGCCCGATTTTCCTGCAACGAAACGGAATTACGAAAGACTACCAATTAACATTGCCAGATTTCATTGTAATATGAACCATGTAACCATGCAAAATTAATCAAACCACACCAGCTCACATACAAAGCAGGGTTAACTTGCATCAGCACCTCCAAGCCAGAATATTGCCATGCTTGCACTGAGCAAGTTACTTAAAAATAAACAAAGGAGAGAGAAAATGCACAAAAGAATCACAGTGGAGTTTGAGCAGAGGAGGTCATTAAAAAAATGGAAAATCCAAGTGTGTGTGTGTTCAGGCGTAAAACCAAACACCATATACAATAAAAACTCACCCGCTTCAGAACACTGAAGACCAGGCGTGACCCACGATATCAGGTTAGGGGGAGCTTAAGTCGGCCAAGCCTGGCCGTTTAGGGTCTGTACGGGCCGGAGAGCATGGAAACAGACCCGCATTAAAGTCATCAATCCGACTCAAGTATGCTACACGCCAAGCTTCAGCTGTCATAAAGAAAGCGCACCAGAGAAAAAGCGCCACTAAACCACAGACACAAACAGCATCCCGTAAACTAAATCGCACGTCACCGAAGGAGCATTAATTAGACTTAATTAGTAATCAACCATTCACACGCCCAAATGGACGCCGACAGCCCTGTAGGGACAACAAACTGGTCTCGTTTAAAATGCGCTTTTTAATATACGTATTGGCCATTTTAAACGCAGTCACTGACTGCATGTACAGGTGCGCGTATTTAGGGACACTGACACGGCGACACGCATTTCAGAAAATAAATATGGTACCTATTTAATTGATACGACGTGATAAGTGTAAACGGCTACTCCAAAACACTCAGCAATCTCGCAAAAGCACGACACAGTTGAAATCACTAATTGGCCAGGTTGCTGATTTTGTACACGGACGCCATCCATATCACTGTAAACACCTTTACATAAAAACTGAGATAATCGAGTAATGATTTAATTGATTATGATATGCGGTGCAGAAAGTTAAACTGTTTGGGTAAATAAACGTTTTTTGGTTATCTTACATAGACCCGAATGGAAGTGTTACTTCAAATATCAGTGGAAATGTAAATGGGGATATAACAATTAAAACTTGAAGCAGTGTTAAATAATGATTGTGCTCCAAAGCGCCCCGGCGCTCTCGGGTCTCCCGCAGCGGACGCTCTGCGAAACGCCCGATTGTCTCCACGAAAATGGTAGCATTGTGCCGAAGCAGAATATCCCGTATTAATCTCGGGTTTCCGCTAAAGTCACTTACACACACTCTTTAAAAGTGTTTTTGTTACATATTTCGCCCTACTATTGGCGTCAGCAGGGCTTTTCTCACCTGTTGCTTTCCATTCGTCATTTCCCTGCAGAATAATACTATTTTTTAACAGCCTCTCTCGGTTACAGTTGGACAACACGGTGCATTCCGTCAGCAACGCACATTAAATGTTTGGCTGCGATACTACGAAGGGAAGGAAACATGAAGTGAATCAAATTTAAATTTTGATCCAATAATACGTGAACTGTTGATGGAGAAGGCATATAATTACTTTTTTGGCAGTGTAACGTGACAGCAAGATGGAAGATTGTTATTCAGTTTATGCTGAACACCTAATCTACGATCCACTGATCAACAATCAAATCCAGTGCAATCGAATCCTTATCTTGTGCGCAGAGCTGCAGGAAACATGCCAGTTTGAAAGCGCGGACATAACTGGGAAACTGCCTGTTCAAGCAGCGGCCCCGCTGTTTTGACATTTCCTGAAGACACTTATGAGATTTTTTGATTTCGTTTCTATGGTCTGGGTGACCCGGTTTAATTGCACGGCCAAGGTTCTGGTAACGTTACGCTAGTTGGGAGAAGGCGTTGCCTTCAGCAGGACGCGGGATGACATAAGAGGAGAAGCGCCGCTCTCCGAGTTAACACCCTTCCTTAGAATTGCACTGGAGCGTTTAAACGCAAATGCATAGAAACAGCAGAAGACAAAAAAACCCTCGTGAAAAATACCCTGTCGTCTCGGATTGCTCACTGTGGCAGAGTCTGGATTAAACCTTAGCCTACGCGGTTCAGTGCTGCAGTAATCGACTTTCCTTTAACGGGACGGCTTTCCTGTCCTTTTCACTTAATTCTCTTAAATGAGTTCTTGCATGAACTGCCCAATATGTAATCACTCAGGGCCGCTATCTCCCAGGCTTAACTTTATTACGGTTTGCTGTAAAATAATTATGTTAAGGCCTTAATTTAGCTCTTTCGACCAGAACGTCTACAGGTGTTGTATTTCAATTTCTCACACTTAACACTTCGTTGCACTGTGTTAATAAATTTGTTTGTTGAGCTTTTTAATATATTTTTGGGATCTCGCTTCTCAAGATATGTTACATTTCTGATTATTCGAGTTGCATCATGGTCTAAGCAGCTTCCATAGATCACCCAGCATTAGTGACCTCGTGTCGTTTTTGCAGTGAAACAAAGACTTAGTGTTGTTTTTTGTCGAACAGCATACTCCAAGGTTAAGCACGTTTTCTCAGCTTTATCATCACAGACAAAACAGCAAGTCTTCATGGCCTGCTCTGCCAGTGTCTTACCATCACCCGTTTTGATTTGTGTTTTCTCTAGTAGTCATACTCTGGCTTATGACACGTGATGCCATTTTATAAAGTCGTCAAATTGTCTAACCTCTCGAAAATAGCCTGAAGTGTGCATCGTTGTTCAAATAAGTAGCCTAATCATATGTCTTATAAAATAAAAAATGCACTTAAGTTATCGTTCCTGAACTAACATTAAGGTTCCTTCATGCAAGAGATGTAGATATTGCAGTTTCCCCTGGTCGCACGAGAGCTTGTCCCGTGTTTTGCTTTGGTCTCAGACATTCCACTGCCGTCCCATGAGATACCGTTAATTGTCCCATTGGCAGGACACTCGTTAAGAATTAGTTGCTGGGAACAAAGACATTATCAGTACATGAGAAATAGTTCCTAAAACTTTTTTTTTCCAATCTTCCGTCCGTAGTTTAATGGAAAGATCATAAACTAGATTTGCGGTCAAACTGTTCTATTTAAACAATCTTAGTTTATTGTACAGTAATATTAAAAATACTATCATAGGAGATTGGTTGGGTTCTGTGGGTCTTAAGGCGGAAGGAGCCGTCCTTTCTCTGGATAGAGGGAAGGAGGAGGAGAAGAGGGCGGAGTAATACTACATTTCTTTTTGAGTTCTGACCTGCGGTAAAGTAGAGAAAAGTTTTCGAAGTTGTCGGGGGTGTTTTCAAGACGCACTGCAGCCGGGTCAGTGCTGCGAAGAAAAAATATATAGATATTACAGAATTGGACTATATTCAGTTATTCGTCTTTGCCCATATTTTAACCAGCACGTGTGTGTATGTGTTTTATCCAACTTTATGTCGCTATCCCATTTCACCGTGATTTCTTGGAACTTTGACCATTGTGTGAATTTTTAATGGATGAATTATTGCTAACAATTTGAAGAGAAGAGTCGGAACAAATTTCCATAAGGATGGGGAATTACAGTATTTGGATATTAATGTGGATTTTATCCCTGACCCACTATTGTGAAGGTAAAGATTTACATCCATACTGCGATATTGGGGGAGAGAGTAAAGGTTTGCAATAATGATGATGTGCCTGCAAAAGTTAAAATGTGTTTCTGAACACCTGTAGTATGTGTCGCTTCATGGTTTAGGGATGATTTTCATGCAGCTTTTCCATGCCGTAACAAGTCATCCTCATGCTTCGATTCGCGTGTTTCGCCGGTACCTCGTCTTGCCTCCGAGTTAAAATCCCGATAGCGAGGATAACCCAGAACTGGAAATGGGACCTCTTTGCTTCAGTTGCAAGGCGGTAAACAAATAAGACAATAACGTACAAAGTTTTAATAGATGGGCCTTAATTGTCTCCCTTTTCATATCACACAAAAACGTGACGCTCTCAAGATTCATAGCGGCGTGGTTTGGTTGTGCGACAAAAACGTCCAGTTCCTTGAGACTGAATTGACTGAGTGCATCCAATTTATTGTGATTTTCAGGGAATGTTAGAGCTGAAGATTTTTCAGCACATTCCTTTAAATGTTTTTTTTTTAGTTTTGTACTTGTACATTTTAGTACATGCATCCGCTGCAATCGCCAGTCACACCAGCTTTGCGCAGAATTTGATTTAGTCTCTTCAGGTACCGCCGAGGAGCCCCGTCTGTCACAGCGGGGTGGTTGTTCGACGAATTGCAATTCTGAAAGGCAGAACACCCCCGTGAGAAAATAATTAAACGCAATGGGATGTTGAGCATACCAGCCGGTTTCGTGCAGGTCAGACTGTGCGGATGGAATGCTGCCGTCAACTAACGCATTCAACAAGTTGTTGGGATTGGGAAAGAAATCCACTTAGCAAGCAATGCACCCATCATGTTTTATGCGGGGCGTTATATTTTTGGTATAGAACTTGCTTTGGGGAGGGGGGGGGGGTTGGGATAGGAGTTTGTGTGTGACTGAAGGGGGGGTGGGGTAGTGATCCATATACCCCCCTCCTTTTACGAACAAAGACCTTTAACAATTGAACTTTGTTTTTTTTAGTGGGGGATGGGAATGAAGAGTAATGAGTGCGAGAATATTTTTCAAAAATTTAAAAATAATTCATATTCTTTTGTGGACAGCAGATACCGTTATGTGGCGTGAAATAATAATTTTCTTATATCCAACTGAAATGTACTTGTCTTTTTGAAACATTAATTGTTTAAACAGGGACGGCAAATTGCCATTATTTGAAAGCAAGTGATCCACTTAGGAAGAAATAACCATATTCCCAATAAGGTCTTAAGTATCAAAACATTACATTTGAGGTTGGAAGTCATAACCACTAAAAGTGACATTATAGATAACATGATCAGACAAGCGTTAAGTCCGATATATTTACAGCCGTACGCTATATGTGCTCCTATATGTATATTTGCTGTAAAATGACAATTGCGACCAACGATCAGGTTTTATTGCAAGAACAAGTTGTTTCAGCGCTCTCCAGGTTGCTCTAACCCTTTGGTTATGGATGGGGGACCGGTGATGCGCCAAATGCGAATCAGATTTGTGCAAGACATTTGGACAATGAATTGGATGAGCAAGCAGTCGTAGAAGAGATGCGCACTTTTCCTTCTGCTCTTCTGATCATGTTCTTTCAGTCTTAAATTTTTCCAACCTCACACCCTCCCTGCCGTTTCTCCACAGGCCTCCGCTGCGTGGATACACACCAGCCCTGTGAAAATGGAGGAATGTGTAAAGAGTCCACCTCACGATGCGTGTAAGTGTCCCTTTCGCCTTGGATGCGTATCCACCCCTATCCCATTGTCATGCAAAAAAAAAGCTGAACTACCATTTCAGCCTGAAATGTGCAATCTTCTATACCAATCCAGATTGTGCTTTCAAAATCCAATTGCGGCTGATCTAATACATGGAACTGGGAGAAGCGGTGTGAACTAGCATCGTGCTGGTTTTGTTGTTATTTCCGCACATCGCGATTAATACAGTTTCACGGTGCTGGAAGTTGTTATAAAGCAATGATTCTTGCCTCTTGTGCAACCTCTCCAGCTTGTGGATTTCGCTTCAGTTTGCACAGTAATGGGGTGGCACCTATTCAATGGACTTGTGAAACAGTAATCGTCGACTCTAAATATTCCCCGGAGTGGCGGTGATTGCACGTTTTTTTTTGTACGGTGCCGGCACGTTGCACCGCGATTCGTTTCGCGCCAGTTGCCATTAAGGGCAGCGGTGGTGATTAGCATACACTCCAGTGCCATCTTATTGTTATCGTAGAGCCCTGGGCTGTTGTTTCTACTTTCCCGCCTGATTTGGGAATGCCTTAGCCACCCGTCAATTCGGGCCATTTTTTTTTTTAAATCAACACAGAGGGACGTGGGAACAACCTCTGCAGTTAAATATAAGAACATACCAGAGCCGTCGGTTTGTTTACTGTTGTGCAAACCAATGACTAAACAGTGAAGCGTTTGAAATGGGAGGCACACATGCCCCCGGGGGCCGCTGGTTTAGAGCCTCGGCGAACAAAGGCGGTCCCTCGCAGTGGTCCTACCCTTTGTCTGACGGGACATTACTAGTCCAAAGGAATCGCTGCAGTAACTTTTATTACTTTATGGGTCGTGACCACTCCTTCATCCAGGCACAGAGGTCAGAGTTGTAAAAAAAAAAAAGCAACAGACCGTTCACCAGCCATCTTTTAGATTAGCCTTTTTTAAAATACGCAAACAGCAATTGATTTAAAAAAAAAAAAAAAACAAGTTACCTACAGATGTAAAAAAAAAAAAAGCCATTTCAGATTAGTGATTTGGATCGTAAAGTGCACCGTCAGAATATAATGATGTGGAACTTGGGATGTATAGTATTTTTCTTATGGCAAAATGAGAATAATGCATTTTACATTTATAATACTCCTGTCAGCTTCATGACTACAATGACTGCACAGTGCAATTGGGATTATCAGATGGAATTATTAATTACAGGTGCTGTTAAATAATAATAATTAGTGTTGTCTTCATGTTGTACAGTGTATATCTGGACAGTGACAGGGTTCATTGCGGACACAAACTGCAGCTTCTGGCCAGCAACATAGTCCGGGCCAAAGTCCTTTTGCAGGGAGGTGGGTTATGGTCAGGAGAAAGGACAGAGCCGACTGAGATCCTTCACCTGTGTGCCAGGAGGTTCAGACTTTGCCGATTGTACGGGCGGATGGAGGGTTAAATCTCTGGGTGGTGCATTCCTGTTCTGGAGATAAAACCAGTCTGTTTTCTCTTTTTCCCTGGCTTATGCTGCCGGATGCCAGGGGAATTACTTGGGGATGTGTGGGTAGGGGACTTCGCCTCTCTGGCCAGCTGCTGCTACCCCCACCCATCTCAGAACAGACCCCGGGGTCTTTTTCCGACCCGCCCACCCGCCATCTTAAGACGGGACGTTGCCGAAGGGGGGTTTTTGAAGTGTGTCACATCAATCCCCGCTCAGTAGATTTAGTCAGCGATGCCACTGGTATAGTATAACGCCACTGGTATAGTATAACCCATAACTGATTGAATGGTCCACCCAGCCCAGGAGGATAGTGTATTGGCGTGTGCGTGTGCATGTGTGCGCGTGTACATGCTCATGCACAAGCTCACAAGCCGTCCTAATAGTTCCTTTGTCACTGACAGAGATCCTTCCCAGGTGTCCGTGGCGATAAGGAGGCTTTTGAGAAAGAGTCCTTATCTGCACAAGGAAACTCGAATCAAACACCCAGCGAATGAAACATTAACCTGCCCGCCGCATGGATCCCCGGAGACATGCCGTCAAAGCAGTGCACGGTCATGAAATGCCTGCGGCGTCTGTCAATTATTACCCACAGCCAATCAGTGCTGGTTTCAGTGGGATGCTGTTTAGGTTGTTGTGTAAGTATTTTTTTTTTTCCATGAGCTTTTTGAAACCTGTGCCGCACCTTGTTAGCGTTCCCTACCTGTCCGTATGGCAGTATCTCTGTGTGGTGCCGCTCAGACTTGAACGCTACGATCAGCTTTGTAGACGTCGTCTGTCAAGGGACAGGCGGCGACTGTGCGGTGGGGGGAGAGGAGACCATTTTGAAAACGGCCAAGCCGAGTTTCATTCCTCGCAGTGCGCCGTCGAGACCGCAGCCCCTGCCGCGGGCCACGGCGGCGGCAAAGCGGTCAGACCCGTCCGTAACCGGAGCTGCCCTCAAACAGAAAACCAGCTCCGCTTCCCCAGAAACCTGCCGTGAAACGAGGCACCGGTGGCCACAAAGGGGAGGCCCGGGAGAGGAGGTGCAGAAAGGGCGTATGGGAGAGGCGGACAAAGAGGGGCAGAAGTGTGAGGAGTGAGCTGTGGGAGCCGGGAGAAATGGGACAGGGGGATTTGACTTTCAAAGCTGGGGCCCGTGGTGGACGAGGTGGGGGGTATGCAATAGTATAGTCCGGGTGCCAGTTGAATGCCATGCCAGAGCAGTAGAGGCCCTGGCTGCCTCCTCTCTCCCAGGAGAACTGGGATGTGGAGTGCTTCGCCGATTGGTGCCTTTTTTTTCCCTACACACCGGAGACTTTGTGCTTGTCTCTGCTTGTGTAACTCCTGCCCGTATTTGTGCACCTCTCAGCGTTGGCCCACTCCTGGTGTATCTGTGTAAGGTTTCATTGTCGCAGTCCCTGTCCCATTTATCCAGGGGGCCCTGCTTACCATGGGGGTGTTGGAGGAGGGGGGGGGGGGTCATGATGTTGAGACGGTCACCCCACCGAGGCCTAGTCTGCCTCCTCATCCTGGAATGCCGCTCTCTTCTCTGGTTAGACTTGCCTGCTATGATGTGTCCCCCTTCACTACCAACCCCCCCCCCAATACAAGCAGAAGGACATTCCACAACAATTGGAGATACCCTGTCACCTTTAAAAAAAGGTGTCCGTTTCATCCTGTCAAAGTCCCTGTCTCGTTTCAATGCGCAGGAGTGGCCTTCACAGAGGAACCTCTCTATAACAATATGAATAGCCTCTCTGTGCCCCCCTCCAAACACACACACACTTACTAATGTGACTCAGCGAGCCACAGGTGAACGAGCAAGAAACTCGGGGGTCGTGTTGCCGATGCTCGATTATGGGAGTTATCCCAGAATGCCGTGTTGTTTTGAGTGCACGCTCACAATGGGGCTGTTCTTCGCGAGGGAATGATCAGAGTGCCCTTCTGGCCTGGGGAAGTCTGTCCTTTTAGGGAGCTACTGTGCGAGGATGATGGATACAGGTGCAGGCAGGATTTACAGCTGACAGGTACAGGTGTCTGTGAGTGAGGTAAGAACAGGTGAGATCGGTAGCTGACAGGTACAGGTGTCTGTGAGTGAGGTAAGAACAGGTGAGATCGGTAGCTGACAGGTACAGGTGTCTTTTGAAGCTGTAGGGCACATGCGCACTGTAGCCGATTTTTAAAACCAGTTCAGTATGAATTTAGCACATCTGGAAGCATTCCGCTAATTATGTATTGTCCCTAAAATAAAAACACTTAATATCTTATCGACTGGTATTTTAGTTCCTGGAAGTTCCTGAATGCCATTTCTGGGTTTCTGCCAGAACAAACTGGCTCTGCTAATACAACAAAGTGGGGGAAGAAAACCAGCTTGAAATGTATCACCACATGGAATATGAAACCAGGTGGAAATGAATGGGTTGTAAAATAGTTGGGATGTGCTCCTGGTTTTCATTGTGCCTCCAAGACTGACTGTGTGTTCTCCTGACTTGAGGCATGGTAGCTCAGTTAACTGTAAGCATGCTATTATTATCACGTTGCTTTTGTGTTTCCTTATTTAAGGACCATACCAAACAACGGGCTTTTAGCTGAAAATAAAACCCCCCAGAATGGTTGGTTTTCCCAGTTGTGTGAAGAAACACGGAAGAAAGTCTGCCTAGCATTCTGAGTGGGTCTGGGGAAGTTCCCCAGGAACTCCTGGGGGAGGGTTGCCCTGCCAGGAGAGAAGAGCGGGTTTAGGGGATGGATAATTAGGCAGATTGAGAGGGTGTCATTCAAAGCGAGTGGTGGGGGTGGGGTGGACAGACAGCTGGTGGATGTTGTGATGGTAATCTTGCAGAGTCAGCCTTCAACAAAGGAGGAGCTGGAGGGCCAGGTGCTGGCATTGAGTGGCTGACCGCCTCGTGTGGGGAGCAGCGGACTGCTACTGGGTGCCCGGGGCTCACTAGGGCATGCATGGTGCTGTGGAACGTGGACCTGCCTTTGTCTGCATATCCTCACACCCACAGAGATAAAGGGGGGCAAGGACCAATACCTTTGCCTTACCCGAGTACAAAAAAACATGCTCTTTCCCAGTACTCAACTCTGGACTCTCTCAAGTCCCACCACTGCAGTACGAATAAGCTAGCATACCACACTCTTCAGAATGAGCAAGGTCAATCCTTGTCCTTAGATTAAGGGTAACGGTTGTGGGTACTTCGAGATCGACTTGTCGACAGAGGAAGAGATATTCCCTGGAGAAGTTTTACGCACATATCAGTTTTCGACTCTAGAACCTGCACATGTATGGTCAAAATTTCAAGTTACCCAGGCAAGATCCCCTCAGTCCTACTGCCAACTTTATCCTTACATAGCTTGTTCGCAGTCATCTCAAGAATGTTCTAACAACAGGGTTCGATGGAATGGGACGCTTGTAGTGACAGGGTATGATTTCAATGAGTAGGATGGGGCCAACAGATCATCTCGGCTGTCCGATAAGAGGTGGGATTACACAGACCCAACATGGGCTTTACTTGATCCAGCTTTTCC